CAGCCGTCATATGGAATGTTGGCATGGCAGATGATGGCTTTATCTGCTATGCCATAGTGCTGGCTCCTAGGTACAATATTTATTTATTTATTGGGATTCTGACATATGCAAGGCAAGGACTTTAGCTATCATGATGGGTCTCTCTAGGTGCAATATTAAAAATTTTGGGCCCGGTGGCGTGGCCTAGCAGCTAAAGTTCTCGCCTTGAACACACCGGGATCCCATATGGGCACCAGTTCTAATCCTGGCAGCTCCACTTCCATCCAGCTCCCTGCTTGTGGCCTGGGAAAGCAGTCAAGGATAGCCCAAAGCCTTGGGACTCTGCACCCATATGGGATACCCGGAAGAAGTTCCTGGCTCCTGGCTTCGGATCAGCATAGCATTGGCCGTTGTGGTCACTTGGGGTGTGAATCATCGGATGGAAGATCTTCCTCTCTGTCTCTCCTCCTCTCTGTATGTCTTACTTTCCAATAAAAAATAAAATAAATCTTAAAAAAATTAAAAAAATTTCAATGCAATGAAAGATGTAACTTGGTCCTACCAGCTACATTCAAGCATTCATTAGCCAAATGAGGATGTTGGCTATTGTGTTAGACACTACATATGAACATTTGCATAACCATATGAAATTTTACTGTGCTGTGCTCTCTATAAAAAATTGTGTTTATATCTGGTTGCACATCAAAGAGTCTGCACAGGGAAGCCTCCTTAGGACAGTAATGGATGTGGGAACCTTGGGGTGTTTGTACATTATTAAACATAGAATTCATGCTATGACTGTGATGAATTCATGCTATGACTGTGATGAATGTGGGAAACCCTGTCAGAACTCCCACGTTATTCAGCATCACAGGGCTTGTGGTGGAACAAAACATAAGGATATAAAGAACTTCAAATCCAGTTCCCACCTCACTGGATACTTGTGAATCTGTTCAAGAGAGAAGCTGAGTAAATTAAATGTGGCAGCTCTTAAACATGTGATTTCATGGACCCAGTGCTACAACTCAATGACTAAATCCTCACCTTGCACATACAGGTGCTGATTTTAGTTCCAGGTGCTCCATTTCCCTTCCATCCCTGCCTGTGGCCTGGGAAAGCAATAGAGGGCAGTCCAAAGTCTTGTGAACCTGCATCCACATGGAAAACCTGGAAGAAGCTTCTGGCTCCTGACTTTGGATTGGCTCAATTCTGGTCCTTGTGGCCACAGCGAGAGTGAAACAGTAGATGGAAAATCTTTCTGTCTCTTCCTCTCTATAAATCTGCCTATTAGTAAAAATAAGTAAATCTTAACAGTGAATTCATGCTGGAGAGAAATGGTCAGTGTGGAAAGGGAAAATTTTTAATCCTAGCTCAGCTTCAGTTAAGACAACCGAGGAAACACAGTGACAAACTTCATCAATGCGTTCAATGCATTAAAACCCTCCTGCATGGTTCCTATCATATTCAGCATCAGATTTCCCAAGTATTGTAGTCACACAATTCACATGGCATAATGAGGCATGCCTTGTAACACTGGTTGTATGAAAATGTTATACGTTGGGCCCAGTGTGGTGGCTGAACTGGCTTATCCTTCCCTTGTAGGTTTTGGCATGCCATATGGGCACTACTTCATGTCCTGGCTCCTACACTTCCCATCTAGCCCCCTGCTTGTGGCCTGGGAAAGTAATGGAGAATGACCCAAAGCCTTGGGATCCTGCATTCACATGGGAGACCTGGAGGAAGTTCCTGGCTCCTGGCTTTGGATTGGCTCAGTTACAGCCATTTGTAGAGTGAACCAGCTGGTGGAAGATCTTTTGTCTCTCCTTTTTTTTCCTTCTGTAAATCTGCCATTCCAATGAAAATGAATAAGTTAAAAAAAAAGTCATGCATTTACTATCCTGTCATTAGAGAAAACACCTTGATATTGAATATCTGACAAATCCAAGTTTAAGTTCAGCTGTGTGTATGTTCTTTGACAAAATTCTCTGTTTTTTATTCCTAACATTTTACCTGAAAGAATTCAGCACAGAGAAAAACAGAATAGGATGATGGTACTTTGAAAAATTGACAGTGGAATGAAAAGTTTATTTTGGTGCCTTCAGTCTTTTTTTTTTTTTTTTTTAAGATTTACTTATTTTTCTTGCAAAGTCAGATATATAGAGAGGAGGAGAGACAGAAAGGATGATCTTCTGTTTGTTGATTCACTCCCTGAGTAGCCGCAACAGCTGGAGCTGAGCCAATCTAAAGCCAGGAGCCAGGAGCTTCTTTTGGGTCTCCCACGCGGGTTCAAGTTCCCAAGGCTTTCGACTGTTCTTGAATACTTTCCAGGCTACAAGCAGGGAGCTGGATGGGAAGTAGAGCACCTAGGACATGAACCAGCACCAATATGGGATCCTGGCATGTGCAAGGCGAGGACTTTAGCCACTAGCTACCACACCAGGCCCTGACACCTCCAATCTTTAAAGTTGTGTCTGGTTTCTTCATATTATGTGTGTCCCTTAGCCATTTGTAGACCCCTCATGTGAATGGGGAACTTTCTGCACCAGAGGTAGACTTGAAGTTCCATTTCCCATGTACTTAATGATTACGAGTTTTTCATTTGAGAGGCGAGGCGAGGGGAGAGAGGGAGGGAGGGAAAGAGAGAGAGAAGTAAGCTCCTTTCTATTGGTTCACTTCTCAAACTGAAGCCAGCAGCTGGGAATTCATTCTAGGAAGAGAGAAGGGCAGGACCCCCTGGCCTGACCCTAACTGTTTCAGTGCCCTGTCTGCTTGCCTCAGCTCCTACTGATAGGGTTCTCAGAACAGTTGGAGTCCTGGCAAGTGCAGGGGCCCTGCCATGTTTGCTGACATGAGAGGTGATTGACTAAGCCAGCTCCTTAGCTTTTCTGTGCCCTCTGTGTGTGCACTCAAATAGTGGAGAGGCCAGGCTACCCCACCAAGGACCAGGTGAGCAGTGTTGGAGGAAGCCAGTAGGGAGGGCTGAGTGCTGATCTCCACCATGGAGTCTTGAGTCCTTTAGCTAGGGCCTCTGAGTGGGCTGGAAGTTCTGGGATGGCCGTCTAAGCCCAAAGCCCAGTTAGCCCAGCTAAGGGGGAATGGGAAACCCCAAGGATGCCCTGGCAGGGGGAGGGAACAGCAGTGTTCCTATATGTGGGAAGAGGAGAGAGAGGAGGGAAAGGAGAAAGAGTTGAGTCGGGGAGCTCTTTCCCTAGCCCCCAGTATCACTGGCTGGGCTGTGGCTCGGGAGCGGATGCAGGGTTGCCACTTCTTTTGGGGTCCAAAATATGTCCGTTGTGTTTTGGGGGCTATGTCCGGTGGAGTCTTGGTGTTGAAGGAAATGGCCAATGGGGGGGGGTATCCCAGTAGGCAAGAAGTCCCTGACCACCTCTGCTCAGCTTGCAACCCACACAGACTGCTTGTGGAAACACAGGGGAGTGGATGGCTCACCTCCTGGGTGTTCTCCTGATTCCAACCCAGCATGCAGTTTAGGTCTCTCAACACACTCTCTACCATCTGTGTAGTTGTCAACTATCCCAGGCAGGGACAGGGCCTGGGAGGTGCCAGGACGGCAGCTCAAGTGTGCAGACACTGAGCTAGTACATCCTTTTAATAACAGTCAGTAATAGTAAGAATTGTGTTTTGTTCTAAATGCTCTTGGCCAAATAAAGCATTGCTAATATTATGTTCTCTCTGCCCCCAATTCTGTTTTCTTTCCTCACTCACGCATATGCACAGGCCTGTCAGAAAAGGACCCACTGGCTCCACACAATTCCAGAGTTGGGACTCCCTGAAGAGCTGGCGAGTGGGCGTTGGTGAGGAAGGTGAGGTGGTGATGCAGGATTTGGGTCCCCACCCAGGTGTTTGTTGACTAACTGGAATGCTCCACTCGCCAGTCCCCCTCCTGGGCTCTCCTTTTTATCATCAGCATAGATGATTCTCTGAATCCCTTTTTATATCAGAATGTCAGTAATCCTCAAGTCTGGCCTGCATCAGAACTCTTAAATTCTGTGTCCTTGGAAGCACTGTTGTAGGTCGCCTAGGAGGGCTTCGGAGTGGCCGAGAACCAAGCTGCATGTTTGAGGTGGGTGGGATTTGAAAGGCCTAGAGGAGCTGCAAGGACATCTCCCCCGCCCTCGGGAAGGAGGCCAGTCATGGAGGTTGGGGTTGACTAGGAGTGATTGTGACATCTGATGTTGCAGAGTGGGGAAGGGAAGACGGGAGAAGGGATGCAGGGTTCCTTTCTGAAATAAACACTGAGAGCATGGGGAATGCGAAGATGGAGATGTCGAGCAAAGGGAAAGAGTAGCAGGCAATCAAGGCTGGAATGAGCACAAGTGACAGAAACAGGGAGGATGCTAAGCTAAGGTTGCTCAGAAGACAAGTTGAGGAAGGAGCTGCTCAGCTTGTGAGATGGCCAGTGTTCTCCATCCAAAAGACAGGGGTCAAGATGAGGCTGTGACCTCTTTGTAGAGTGTTAATGCTAGAAGCTCTCCTCAGTGGTCCAAGTTAAAATTCAAGGATGGGAGCTGTGGGACTGAAGAGGCTTTGGGAAGAGTCCAGAGCAGCTTTCCTCTTCTTCTTCTTTAAAGATCCAGAGCCAGGAGCCAGGAACTTCCTCCAGGTCTCCCATGCGGGTGCAGGGTCTCAAGGCTTTGGGCCATCCTCAACTGCTTTTCCAGGCCAAAAGTAGGGAGCTGGATGGGAAGTGGGGCCACCGGGATTAGAACCAGTGCCTATATGGGATCCTGGCTCTTGTGAGTCAAGGACTTTAGCTACTAGGCCACAGTGCTGGGCGCAGCAGCTTTCTTATTTTGCCTAAGGAGGAACCTGGGGCTTCAGGAGGGCAGCTGCCATGCCCAAGATTAGCCAGCAAGCAGGAGGCAGATGTTTCATGTGTGTTTTAGATCTGTAGGCTGTAAAGGGAAGCAAGGCAAATCCAATCAGAGACCCCACAAACCACGACTCGCATGGGGGAATGCAGTCGAGTGCCACGTCTGTCCCGCTTTCTCCTTGTACAGGCCCTTCTGACGAATAGAGGATAAGAACATGAAGGGGTTCACCTGGGTCATAGCCCCCATCTTGACCTCCCTGGGCTACCTGCTGGTTCTGTTGGTCTCCATCTTTCCCTTCTGGGTGCAGCTCACGGATGTGGAATCTCAGGAAGTGTTTTTCAGTGGCCTGTTTGAGAACTGTTTCCATATCAGGTGCTGGAAGCCTCGACCCTTATCCAGTAAGGAGGGTTGGGGATGGGAAATGGGCAGAAGGGAGATGGGGCCAGGGTGGGGTGACATAGCAGTGCAATGATTTCATAAGCCCACAAGAGCTTTAGAAGAGAGTAGGGTTAATAATGTCAGGTTGGCAACCCTCTCCACACTCCCCTCCAAGTTGGGGAGTGGATATGTTTGGAACAAGTTCCTGCTTCAATCCTGTAGCTGATACAGCTTGCAGGGCTGCTGTGCAACAGCATGGACCATAGGCCAGATTCCTTGACCACACACTTGTCCATGTGTAGGTGGCAGCCACACAGAGAAGGTCCTCAGGCCTTGGGATCACATCCCAAGGATGTGAGGCTGCGTCTGGCCTCTTCTGCACACTAGCAGCACTTCCCTTTTGGGCAGTTGAGGCCCTGGGGCGGGGGGACTGTCCAGGAGGGAGCCGACAGCAAATGAAACACCCAGTGTTCTCTGTCTGAAACAGGCTGTGACCTTTTCCTGTGGAGTGTTAGCGTCAGAAGCTCTCCTCAGTGTTTCAAGTTAAAATTTTAAGGATGGGAGCTGTGGGACTGAAGAGACCTTGGGAAGGGTCCAGGGCAGCTTTCTTTTTAAGTATTTGAAAGGCAAAACTCCCACTGCTCTAGAGCCATTATTTTAACATTTATTTTATTTTGAAAGGCAAAGCTACAGAGAGAGACAGAGAGAGACAGACAGACTGCCATAGGGGAGCGAGGGAGGGAGAGCCGGACTGGGAGAAGGAAGGAAGGGAGGGAGAGAGAGATAGAGAGGGAGAGAACAAGAATGAATCTTCCATTTGCTGGTTCATTGAAGCCAGAAGCCTAGAGCTTCTGGAACTCCCACTAGGGTGGAGGGGTCCAGCACTTGGACCATTTTCCACTGCTTTACTAGTCATATTAGCAGGGCGCTAGATCACAAATGGAGGACTCAAACTGATGCCCATAAGGGATGCTGGCTGTACATGTGGTGGCTTTACTTGCTAAGCCACTGTGCTAGCCCCAAGAAGCACTGTTTTAACCACAGACCCAGAAACAGATGCTGGAATGTTTGGGTCTTCAGAGATTCCTCTGTGTATTTGCCTTACTTTTAGATGTCCATCTCTGCATGCACAGAGGGGAATGCAAATGGATTTTAACATGAGTTTGAATCATGCCAACAGTAGGAGATTAAATCACTCTATTCCCAGGCTTTGGCTCTGCTGTTCTGATTTGATTCACTGCCCCTGTTAGTCAGGAAAATTAAACAGGGTCAAAGGAGTTCCCAACTTGGAATATTTTGATCCCACAAAGTTTTGATTTTCCATGGGCATCTTATTTCAAATAGAGGCACGACTTCTCCCTTTGCACGCATGACAAGTTTTATAACGTCAGTTTGCTTTTGTTGTCTATGAAGACCACTGTTTTCTCCAGATGGGACGATCATGTGGTTTCATGTCTGACATTGTCAATTGCACATTTCTTTCCATATCCTTCCTTGCCTTTAGGATCAAAGTGGTGAGGCCAGAGCATTCTTAGGGCCAGTTGACAGGATAACAGCTTTGCTCCCAGGGCCATGATTTGGGAACTGAGGGTGGTAGAGGCTCTGGGGATCATCCCTCAACACCTGTCCAGGCTTCATGGGGCTTTGGCCTTTGTGAGTCAGTGTCCCCAGCTCCATCCAGTCCTCTTTCCCCCACTGCAGTTTACATCCTGCTTGGCCGCGTCTTCCTGCTCTCCGCGGTAGTCTTGGCTTTCCTCACCACCTTCATCATGGTGTCTTTTGCATCTGAGCTCTTCCCGAAGACCCGGAAGCACAATTTCGTGTCAGCCTTCATCAGCTTCCTCACAGGTGTGGACAGCCTGGCAGTCCCTGTCCTTTGCTAGGATCGGGGGTGGGGAGCATGGGCAGATGCAGAGGAAGTAGGGTGGTTGGTCTCTGACTGTGTAGATTCCGCCCTCTATGGCTTTCTGTGTGAAGTAACCCATTCCTTGTTTATAGATGACTAGCCCTGACCCTGTTGACTTGGGAGCCATAAGTGTGGGAGGGCTATTCTGTTGACTGTCATAGGCTCTGGCATAGAATTATAAATAAATATATGTATGTTTGTCCCATGGGGCTCCTGGACCAGGGCAGGATGTAGAAAATACACAGTGGGAAGATGAGGTTAGATTTCAGCCAGAGTGTTGCACCCACCCAGAGGGCCCAGTGTGAAGTGAGCCCAGGGCACAGCCACTGAGGATCCCAGGAAAGGACTTTCTGATGACGGGGGCCCCTGCAAGCTGAGGCTTGGTGTTGGGAAATGAGTTGGGAAGGAGGCAGAGACAGTGAAGGGAGTTGGGGGGTGTGTTGCTGGTTTAGAGAGGGCAGGAGGTGCAGGCAGGGTAAAGGAGCCTCAGGCTGGGCTGCTTGGGTTCTGTCTGATTGGAGAAAGGATGGATGAAGTCGAGAGTGTGGGAGGAGAGTGAGGGGGCCTCCCTGTGATTCTGCAGGGGCCTGTGCCTTCCTGGCCTTGTTGCTGCATGCGCTGGAGATCCGCAATCTGATGATGAAGCCCAGCCCCCTACGCTTCTCCGTGCAGTGGCCTTACTACGTCCTGGGCTTCGGCGTCCTTCTGTTCCTAGTGGCTGGTGAGTGTGCCTCTCTGCACTGCATTTGGGAGACTGTCTTGTGAGGTCCTCTCTTTTGATTACCCGGAGCTGCCCTCTTCCACATGGCACCCATCAGTTACACATTAGTGTTGCATAACTGAAGCAGAATGGAAAATTGAGTTCCCCAATCACACTAGGCACATTTTACAGTTTCCATAACCACGTATGTTAAGTGGCTACCATTTGGAACCTTCAGGTGGAGAAACTTCTTTTTTGAAGATTTATTTATTTTACTTAAACGTTAGATACAGAGTGAGGGAGGAAGAGAGAGAGAGCGAGCTTGTCCATCTGCTGGAGCACTCTCCAAGTGGTTGCTATAGCTGGAACTGAGCTGATCTAAAGCCAGGAGCTTCTTCTGGATTTCTCATGCAAGTGCACGGTCCCAAGGCCTTGGGCCATCTTCCACTGCTTTCCCAGGCCACAAGCAGGGAGCTGGCTGCAAAGTCGAACAGTTGGTGCCCATATGGGATCCCGGGTGGATGAAAGGTGAGGGTTTAGGCACTAGGCTGTTGAGCTGGGCCCTTGGATAGTCTTTATCATATTAAGGAAGTTATCTAATCCCAGTGCGCAAAGAGTTAACCATGAATAGATGCTAAATTTAATTGGATGATTTTTCTTTTTGTACAGTTTGATATAGTTTGTTTTGCTCCTTTAATCTGTTAATGTGGTCAAATTATTTCCAGTTTTGTTTTTGCATTTCTGAAACAAACTGAGCTTGTCCATTATAAGTATATTTTTTGTTATTAACCTTTGCCCTCAAAATTTTCTACTGGGACTGATCTTTAAGTTTTTTTTCTTGTACTTTCCTTGTCTGATTTTGATATAGTTTTGCAGGCCTCATTAAATGAGCTAGGAGAGTTGTCTCTGATCTCTGTGTTTAGAATTTTTTTCTTCAACAAGTGTTCTTCAGTGAAAGAATTTTCGGTTGTGACTGTTACATGACTCTAAGAATTTAATTTTATTCTTGAGGAAGTTTCACGATGGCGGAAGGGTAAGGACACGTTTAAATGGACGGAGAAACATTTAATCAGGAAGAGGCAGAGAGGACATGTTTCAGGAAATAGGAAAGGACAGAACAACAGCAGAGGGGTACCTGGAGACTGACAGACACAGGAAAGCAGCGGGCACAGCAGTGTGGTGTTGCAGTGACTGATATTCCAGCACGGTGATCTGAACTCCACCAGCAGCTGGAAATCCACCAGCAACCAGGTGGGAAGGGACTTTCACTGGGAGCTTGGGAGGTGAATCCAGACAAAGAACTGTCCGTCCTGCTGGTCCGTTTGATTTGACCAGGGGCAGAGACAGAGCAGCAGAGCTCAGATGGGCAGTGTGAGAACAGGGTGGATTTCATAACCCAGTCAGCCCCCTAGAGCTGAGTTGGGCGCCATTTTGCATAAGGAGGAAAGGGCAAGTAAAAGGACCGAGCATGCTCTGAGCTGGGAGTGAGCTAATTTCTACTCGGTGAACTGCAGCAACATGGCATTCTACAGGTTCTACCCAAGACAGGTCTGGGTAGCCCTCGGATCTGATGGCCACAGATCAAGGACTCTAGTAGTGGCATGTCAGGCGCCATTTTTGTGCACTGTGGCAATAGCTTTGGGACTGCAGGGGACAACAGTGAATTGCGCATGTACTGAGCTTGTGAGAACTCGCTGAAGTCCTGCAGGAAAATAATACTGACTGTGGCATCCTACCGGTCAAAACAGGTCCATGTGGCACCCAGACCTAACGTCCAACAGGTTCCAACAAGATCAGCGCCACCAACAACTTAACTAGACAGGACACCTGGTGTCTCTCTAATCCTGGGACCTGTTTCAATTAGAAGTGGGAGAAAGGTTGCAGAGACAACAGTGCAGACTCAGCACGGTATCACAGGAGTGGTGAGACTGGTGAACCAAGAGCTGGGGCTGTGGAGACCATGGTGGAAATCTGACATAAGAACCCAGACATGGAACTCACTGGAGGTTGTGGCACAAGTGGCGGCAAGCAAAAAGTTGTGTACCAACTGCAATAAGTAAAACTGAACTGTAGACCTGTGGGTGACACAGCTTAGAAACCTGCTCCAAGAAGAAGACTCTGCTAACCAGAAGTACAATGACCAAGAGCAAAAGAAGAGACAAAAGCACAATGAACATTACTGAAAACTCCCCTGCAAAGGAGCAAAACCCTTTGCCAACCTCAGAGTTAACTGAGGAAGACATTGAGAAAATGGGGGACACAGAATCCATAAGACTCATTTTAAAGATTCTGATTAAAAATGAGAAGCTCATGCAAGAGTTCAAAGAATTTAAGGACGCAATAAAATAAATCAAGGCTGGTATATTAGAAATTAAGAACACAGTAGAGCAAATTACAAGTACAGTGGAGAGTCTGCAAAATAGAATGAAGCAAGCAGAAGAAAAAATCTCAGAATTGGCAGATATCTCCTGTCACCAGGGGGAAGCAAACAAAAAGCTGGAAGCAGAGCTGGATCAGGTCAAAAAAAGTATTCAAGAATTGAAAGACACTATTAAGAGGCCTAATATAAGAGTTATGGGAGTCCCAGAAGGTGCAGAAAGAGAAGCTGAGTTTGCAAATGTGTTTAATGAAATAATCAAGGAAAATTTCCCTAATCTGGAGAAAGAATTGGGAAACAAGATCCAGGAGGGGCACAGAACTCCCAACAGGCTTGATCAAAAGCAATCTTTGGCCCCAGGCGGCGTGGCCTAGCAGCTAAAGCCCTCGCCTTGAATGCGCCAGGATCCCATTTGGACACTGGTTCTAATCCCGGCTGCTCTACTTCCCATCCAGCTCCCTTGTGGCCTGGGAAAGCAGTTGAGAACGGCCTAAAGCTTTGGGACCCTGCACCTGCGTGGGAGACCCAGAAGAAGTTCCTGGATCCTGGCTTCAGTTCAGCGCAGCACTGGCCATTGCACTCACTTGGGGAGTGAATCATCGGATGGAAGATCTTCCTCTCTGTCTCTGGTTCCTCTCTGTATATCTGAGTTTTCAATAAATATATAAATCTTTTAAAAATAAAGCGATATTCACTATGACATATGATAATCAAGCTCTTCAATTGAACATAAGGAAAAGATTCTTAAATGTGCACATAAAAAAAAAAATCAATTGACGTATAAAGGAATGCCAATTAAGCTCACAGGAGAATCTCTCAGAGGAAAGTCAGCAGGCAAAAAGAGAATGGAGTGACATATTCCAGATTCTAAAAGAAAAAAATTGTCGGCCTAGGATAACATACCCCGCATAGCTTTGTTTTATCTTTGAAAATGAAATAAAATTCTTCCACAGTAAAGAAAAGCTAAAAGAATTTGCCTCTTCCAAACCTGCCCTACAAATGATACTTCAAGATGTTCTCTTGACAGAGAGGAGGAATAGCACCCACCAAAACCAAGGCAAACGGGAAGAACATCCCAGTAAAATGACAACAGAAGACTAAACCAATCAACAACCCATTCCTAAAATGACAGGACCAAAGTACCACCCATGTATATTTAACTCTGAATGTAAATGATTTAAGCTCAATCAAACATCATAGATTAGTAGACTGGATTAAAAAAGAAATTTAATTTTATTCCTAAGTCATTTTTGATAGATGGTATAATTAAATATATACATTTAAGATTTTTAAATTTACTCTGTGTACTCCTGTGGTCTGTGAAGGTGACATCACAGAAAGATTATTAAGCCCAAGAAACCAACCTTTAATTTGGATTTCACTCACTCTATGGAAGATGAAATTTTTGATTCTGGAAATTTTGAACAGTTTCTCTGGGAGAAGGTTAAAGTTAGTGGAAAAACTGGGAATCCCGCAAATGCATCCAGAAAGAGATTTTAACTTTATTGGCTGATTGAAAATTGTGTTTTTTTTTTTTTTAAATACTGGTTCTTTTTTTTTTTTTTGTAAAGATTTATTTTTTAATTTTTATTGGAAAGGCAGATATACAGAGAGGAGAGACAGAGAGGAAGATCTTCCGAGCGCAACGGCCGATGCTATGCCAGTCCAAAGCCAGGAGCCTCTTGTGGGGCCACCGGGATTAGAACCGGCACCCATATGGGATCCCGGGCGTGCAAGGCGAGGACCTTAACCACTGTGCCACTGCGCCGGGCCCGACTGATTAAAAATTGTGTGCTTTTTAAAATGTATAGTTACATTTAAAATTTTTTTTAAAGACCTATACAAACTTTTTTGGCACCCGTTTTTTAAAGAGAAATTTTAAAAAAAGATTTATTTATTTATTTTTATTGGAAAGGTAGATTTACAAAGAGGAGGAAAGATAGAGAGGAAGAGCTTCCATCTGTTGATTCGCTCCCCAAGTGACCGCAACGGCCGGTGCTATGCTAATCCGAAGCCAGGATCCAGGAACTTCTTCTGGGTCTCCCATGTGGCTGCAGGATCCCAAAGCTTTGGGCCATTCTTGACTGCTTTCCCAGGCCACAAGCAGGGAGCTGGATGGGAATCAGGGCCACTGGGATTAGAACCAGTGCCCATATGGGATCCTGGCTCTTGTAAATTGAGGACCTTAGGCACTAGACTACCGCAGCAGGCCCACCCATTTTTTGTGCTTGTGAAGTTTATCACTTTTTGGCCATTTAAGAGAATCGGCCATTGTTTCTTTTGTGAGAAATATTTATTTCTTTAACTTGAAAGAGTTACAGAGAGCGGGGCGGGGGGCAGGGACAGAGTTTCTCCATGCTTGGGTTCACTCTCCAATGGCCGCAATGGCCAGACCTGAGCTGATCTGAAGCCAGGAGCTAGGAGCTTTTTCTGGATCTCCCACAGGTGCAGAGTTGAAGGCTTTGGGCCGTCCTCTGCTGCTTTCCAGTCCACAAGCAGGAAGCTGGATGGGAAGTGGAGCAGCTGGGACAGAAACTGGCACCCAGATAGGCTCCTGATGCATGTAAGATAAGGATTTACCTGTTGAGCCATCACGCCGCGCCTGTCCTTTTATTCTTAATAGACTCAAGGAAATTCATATTTTTACAATCTCCTTTTTAAAAAGTACTTATTTTAATTGGAAAGGCAGATTTACAGAGAGGAGGAGATAGAGATTTTCCATCTACCTTTTTACTCTCCAAATGACTGCAACAGCTGTAGCTGAGTCATTCTAAAGCCAGGGACCAGCAGCTTCTTCCAGATGATCCATGTGTGTGCAGGGGCTCCTGGCCTGGGCCATCCTCCACCACCCTCCCAGGTCATTGGATAGGAAATGGAGTAGCCGGGATGTGAACTGGAGACCAGATGGGATGCCACTGCTTGCAAGTGGAGGGTTGCCAACTGAGCCGTCATGCTAGGGCCAATCTGTGTCTTTTAGGTTTAACTGCATGCAGGTCTGAACCTATTTCCTGCTGTTTCTGTAGGCTCTTGCCTGTGGTGTCTTGTTTCTATATGTTCTGTTTCTGCTTCACGATGAATTCATTTTCCTTGGAATTGTATTTGAGGAAAAGCTTCAAGACCTGAACGTGAAGTGTCTCCTCCGCAAAGGATTTGCATTTGTTTCTGTGCCGCTCTGGGGTTTTTATCAGTCAGTCCAGATCACAAACAAATGCATAGGTATGTGAATTTAGTTGCAGACCCACATAGCAGCAAGCCTGCAGTGACACAATATGTCACTGCAGGCGACTGAGGATGTCCCAGCTTCATAAAGTCTATTCCTATTCCATTTCCCAGCTTGCACAGGCCCTGGGGATTTCCTCTGTGATTGGACACCCTTAAAGAGCCAATAGAAACTCGGGTCACTGAGTACATGTCTTTCAAAGGCGAAGGCTGATTCCTGTTTTCCTTTTGGTTTTGGAGCCTAAGTATGCTTCATTTTGATGCCAGCTGATTCGCTTTTACAGAAATCTTTTGCTGGAATTTTTGTCTGTGGGAAGAGTCTGTTATCATGCTCAAAATATTTTATTTTAGCCTTAATGAAGTGCTTATTATTCACCTGTGGTACCTAGATTTGTTCTTTTGAATATCTATGTCTTTTTCCTCTTTTATTTTCCTAAAGGTCTTGGGTCAAGCATCAAAAGGTCAGGGCTTTGCATTGGAAGCCCTTTCTGTAAGCCTAGTGTTTCTCATCTATGAAATAATTGCTGTTTGTATTCCTTACCTTGCGATACCCCGTTTTTCCATTGTCTCTCAAATGTTTTTTCTATGGGAGAATGGAGGAGGGTGGGCCCAGAACCAGAGGGGGCTGCACTGGAGGAGGGTGCTGCTGACCTCCAGGGCAGGGAGCCTGACCCTCTCTGACCTGATCGGACCTTTTGCTCTTAATTCAGGTGCCATCTGCCTCTCTCAAGAAACAGCCTGCACCAGCTGCCACTTGTTGCCCATTTCCCGGCGTGCGGAGGACCAGGGGATCCCACAACAGAAGAAGCTGGAGAGTTTGGGAGGAGAGCTGAGCTCAATACAGAAGGAGTCACTGGTGCAGGAAGAAACAGTTATCTAGTTCAGGATGTTTTCTCTGCCATTCCTGCAGCGGATGATGTGCACAAGCAGGTGTACGGGGTCTCCCTTCTCTGCTGCCCTCAAGTGTCACATCAACCCTCCCCCTGCTCAGACACACAGACACTTGATATTACTCATAGTTGAAATTTGTTAAAAGTTCTTTGAATTTTTCTAAGTGTGTCTTTTTTAATTATAAATTTAACTTTCTACAATGATTACATGGTGAATCAGGGTGGGAAAGATTGAGGTTTAGAAAATTAGTGTACTCATTGCTTCCAAATTTGCTATTTCTTTCTTTTTTTTTTTTTTTAAGATTTATTTATTTATTGGAAAGTCAGATACAGAGAGGAGGAGAGACAGAGAGGAAGATCTTCCGTCCGATGATTCACTCCCCAAGTGAGCGCAACGGCCAGTGCTGCGCCGAACTGAAGCCAGGATCCAGGAACTTCTTCTGGGTCTCTCACATAGGTGCAGGGTCCTAAAGCTTTGGGCTGTCCTCGACTGCTTTCCTGGGCCACAAGGGAGCTGGATGGGAAGTAGAGCTGCCGGGATTAGAACCAGTGCCCATATGGGATCCTGGCACGTTCAAGGCGAGGACTTTAGCTGCTAGGCCATGCCACCGGACCCCAAATTTGCTATTTCTTCTTGTTGTTTCTGGGGGAAGGAGAGAGACAAAACCACTCATGACTTTTCACACGTCCCAGTACCGAGGGATGAGGAACTGCCACCTCTTATCAACCCGCAGCCTCAGTGTGCATATATTCCAAAGATTCTGTCCAAGTGGTTTGGATAGTTCTAAAATGCTGCCATTTTCACTGATGCACGAGTGATGTCACCCTCCCAGTGTCCATTCGCTCCGTTCACTGAGATTTTTTGCTGCCGTTGTTTGTTTGGGGTAGTTGTCCAGTTAGTTCTGTTCTGCTATGGCACCAAATGAGCTGCCACATTCTCCTTTTCCAGCAGGCCCGTGTCCACTGCTCCACCTTTTTCATTAGGTAGGACAGTACTTGCAGGCGAGTCTAAGGACCCAGGCCAGGCAGGTGTCCCAAGCATTGCTGGATCCTCCACCCCTGGGGCTCACGAGCCTGACACCCACCTAGTAGGCGACCCCAGGACCTGGGCCAGGAGACCTAAACTCTGCTGGATTCCCCATCCCTGGGGCTCACAAACCCCACACCCACCTAGTAGGCAGCCCCTGGGTGTCTTTTGTTTAGATAGGCATTTTCAACTGAAGAAGAGCTACTCTGTTAATCCATGCCTCAAGGGCAATGTTGGGGGTGGGGAAGGAGGGGGAAAATGTTGTAAGATGATCACAAGAATTGGGATTATGAAAGATAAAAACTGTACAGAATATAAACTTCACAGAATGTGTTGGAATCAGTGACATTAGAAAGAAAGTCTGGGGTGGGTCTCAGGACGGGGCGTCTCATGCCTGGATCCCGGACAGCCGCCATGTGCTGAGCTGTCCCCGGGCCTGCTGGTTCCGGGGGCCGCTTCCTTCGGGGTGAGTAGACCGAGGGGGAGGCCTCCGGGACTGGGCAGGCCCGGCACCCACCCACCGCCCTCATGGGGCGGTGAATGGGATTTGGGAGGGGCGCGACCTTGGGCCTGGGTTATTTAAACCTCCAGCGCCTCCTGGCAGCTGGTGGGTCTCAGGACGGGGCGTCTCATGCCTGGATCCCGGACAGCCGCCATGTGCTGAGCTGTCCCCGGGCGGCCAGTGCGCCATTTGGTGCCAAGCTCTGCCTGCTGGCCGCCCGGCCGGGGAGCTCTGGGGATTTGGTTCTTTGAGTTGCTCCAGTTTGAACCCATTGTGCTTCTTGGACCTGAAACAGGCAGTAACTCTTCCTTAGCAAAACTTTAAATCACTAATAATTCTGAGTACCAAATACCAGTCATGCAGAAGCTAGGGCTTGGGGCCTGTCTTGCAAAAGTAGCTCCAACAGTTGGCTAATGTGTCAACTGGTAATGGAACAGAGTAGATTAGGCACGACTGAACAAACCTTAGCCCACAAGTAAAACTAGAAACCAGGAGGGAGCAGAGGTCTTGCCGAGCTAGGTTCTTGTACCTGCTGGTCTGTGGGATCCAGGGACGCTAAGCCACAGTGTCTAAGGCAGAGGTCGGGACAGGTGAGGAGCTGTGCCAAGCTGAGTCAGAGCATCCATTGGCAGGCAAGTGATCTATGGCTGGGAACAGACCCGGTTGGGGAGCAAAGGGGACAACCCTAGCTGGGCTGAGGTTCCCACCAAGAGGCACATGGCCTGGAAGGGGAGCTGCGTTCTGATCTGGAAACAGTTGTAGTCTCCCTTGGCACAAGTGTGGACTGGGATTGGATGCACCGAACCGGGCCAGACCCCGACTCCCCCTGGTGTTCTGGAGGACCAGGGCAGATGTGGGATGGACCAGGCAGGGTCTCAAACCCCTACTGAGCCATGTGTGAGCCAAATGTGGGTGTAGACAAACCATGGCTGGGCTGGAACATCCAACAGCAAGAACCAGATTGGGTGGAAGGCCAGACAGGAAAAGCCACAGTTCCTGTTATTACAGGAGGTGGACTGAGTAGGGTTGGCTCATGGACCCACTGGTAAGCGTGAAACCTGGCATTGGGAGAGGTTCTGATGGAGGAGCCTGGGCAACTCCTCTGGCAGGACACAGACCAGGCAGGTAAACGCAAGAAACATGATAGGAAACAGCCCAGAAAAGGCCATGGAAAGCTACCCACTGGCATACAATTGGCTGATGTGGGGGCAAGACCAGGCTGAATCTGTCCACATTATCCACTGGCAAATCCAGGCACCAGTGTGGGTCGACCTAGGGTTGGTCGCAACAAAGACTAGTGCACATTATGGAATGCCAAGGTGAGGTTGCCTGTACCGGAAGGGACCGCAGCGCCCTACCAGCCTGAGAACAAGAAAGGAAGTGGGCAGAGCCGGCAGGGGAATAAGGGAGGGTTCCTTTGCAGGACAGCTACTTCCGCAGGAGAGCATGGGCTGGGATGGGGGCAGACCAGACTAGGCAGAGCTACCACACCTGTGCGCCTCATGCGGACCAGATCAGGGAAAAGCCGGGCTGGGCGGATTATTCCTACTGGTGCAAGCAAAATTAAAGTGGGCAAGGGGTGTTTGGGCTTAGACGCAGCATCAACTGGAATCTGGGAGTGGGAGAGGCCTGGGAGGGAAATAGTGGGCTCATCCTTCTTGGGTTACCACTTCCACAGGACATAAAACTAAGATAACTAAGAGCGGCTGGGGTGGAATGGGGTGTGGGACAGACTGGATTACTGCTACACTTATTGGCAAACCAGGGTAGGGAGTGGGGCTGGTGGGGGTTATTGTGGGTCGCTCCAACTAGGCTGCAGCTCCCGCTGGTTTATGTGAGGACCAAGTATGTGCTGGGCAGAACCAGGCTGGACTGCAACACCCATTGGTTCCAGTGGAAGTCGGGAGTGAAAACAGAATCAACCCAGCAACTGCAACCACCAGCTGATTGGAGCGATAGACGGTGCCAGGCCCTGTACTTGTTAGCACATACAAGAAGTTTCTTTGGAGATCTTCCTAATCTAAATGCTGGACTCAGAACCCTAACGAAGAAAAGAGAGAAGACAGAACAGGTCAACCAACCATCTCAGCTATGATGGACTATGTCAATCAGTTGATTTTTCAAAGATCTCATAGTGCTTGGAGTGGCAAGATTGACAGCGATTCATGACTGTGGCAATATCAAAACCACTTGAGCAAGAACCTCAGAGCATGCCCTACATCTGGGACCTGGGGAGGGTGGGAAATTGGGTGGGCCTTCTCCCTTAAATAACCCCCTTTAAACATGAAGGTAACAATATGGAAAACATACTAGTATTATCCACTTTCATGTAGCCCTTGAACCTTCTTACCCTAATTAACTATGTTAAAAATGTCAAAATAAAATCATAAAAAAAAAAAAAAGAAAGAAAGTCTGCCCCCAGATACAACTCTAACTCCAAGTGGGAAGCTGTTTTAAAATATGGTTTTGGGGGGCTGGCATTGTGGTGCAGCCAGGTAGGCATTGTCCAAGGGGCGTGTCTCACATGGGTACTGGTCCATGTCCCTACTGTTTGATCCAGTTTCCTTAATGGCTTGGGGAAAGCTGCAATGATGGCTCAGAACTCTGGACTACTGCCATCCACCTGGGAGACCTGGAAGAAGCTCCCCCTGGCTTCTGGCTTCAGCCTGGCTTAGCTCTGGACCATTTGGGGAGTGACGCAGTGGATGGAAGAGGTCTCTCTATATCTTTAAAAAAAGTGGGGAAGACTTATTTTTTTAGGAAGGCTGATCATATTTATGGAGAGAAGGAAATATATAGAGAAAGAGCTTCCATCCGCTGGTTCACTTCCCAAGTGGCCGCAACTGCCAGAGCTGAGCCAATCCGAAGCCAGGAGCCAGGAGCTTCTTTCAGGTCTCCCACGCAGGTGCAGGGTCCCAAGATTTTGACCCATCCTTGACTGCTTTCCCAGGCCACAGGCAGGGAGCAGGATGGGAGGTAAACTAGGCAGGACAGGACCTGGCGCCCATATGGGATCCTGGTACGTGCAAGGCAAGGACTTTAGCCACTAGGCTACTGTGCCAGGCCCAGCTGATTTTGCTTGTAATATTTTACTGGGAGGAAGTTTTGCTATTTATGGAGTAACTATCTTTTTATGGCTGCTGGATTACATTCATAATTAGAACTTTCCCATCTCAGTTGTTAGAAACGAAGTCCTTGCTCTGTGCTTCCTTTTGACTGTTAAAAAGCTTCCTGTTTTACATTTTAAATCTTTATTTGTGCCGGGCATGCGGTGTTACACTATGGCTTCGAACATGACCAACTACCTGTGTATTAAACTTGACATGGCCATGGTGGTTTCCTCGCGTGTCCGTTTCAACCGCCTACACAACTTTCATCTCCAAGTCCTCCCCGCAATCCCAGTCTCCCCGATCGTCCCACTTAAAGGTTCTATTTTGTTGGTTCGCCCGTTCAAAACCCAGCTCAGCGTCCCAGGTAGGCTTTTCCGACTGCGCAAGCGCGCCGGCGCCCGTGTGACGTGGCCGCCTTACCCGGAAGTGCCGCTGTCGTGAGCTATCACCGAGACGCACTTCCGAGACCTCCGAGAGAACCAGAGAGGAAGCGGAAAGGGCCTGCACTCAGGCACCCATCTGACAGCGCCCGCCACTCGCTTCCACACGGCCTTGGCTGAGAGGACACCGGGCGCCCGTGAGGAAGCCGCGGGCGAGGTCGGGTGAGTGCCGCAGCGGCCGGGCGGCGGGGCCGGGCGGCGGGGCCGGGCCTCGTCACCGCCAGCGGGGCGTCGGCGCGCCGCGGCGCTGCTGGGAGCCGGTCTCCGCCTGCCAGGCCTTGGCTCCGGGCGCGCCGCGTCTCCTCAGCGCCGTCGGCCGCGTCCCCGAGGCTCGCTGTGCAGGCCCGAGGTGGCCGCGGGGTTGACCCCGGCCGGCCATCCTGAAATCCGGTGGAGCCCTCTGCAAGGGGGAAGCAGCCGGCTTAGAGCCAGGCGCAGGGCGGTCTCTTTCTAGCATGGCTTCCGAGGCACCTGGGTGTTTGCCAAGCGCTTGAGGGGAGAGGTGAATGCGGAGCTTGTCCGACGGGGGGTGACAAGCGCCGAGGGCACCTGTGGAGTGGGCAGATGCGGTGGAAAGCCTCGACGGAGCAAAGGAACGGGCCGAGATGTGGATTCGGATGAGAGAGGCCCCCGTTAATACACAGGCACCCGGTAGAATTACAGGATATTTAACGGAAGCTTTTATGCCTGCTCGGCTGTTGCTTTGCGCCAGTCGGGGTGCGCCTTCTCTTTCTGACAAGCTTGAACTTGAAGCCCGCTCCTCCCCCGCCCCCAGCCTAGGTCCCGTTTAATCCCTCTGTTTTCAGCTTACCCTGTTTGATCTGTTCCGTGTGTTGTGAGAGTCAGGCTGCTGAGAGCCGTTATTATGTAAGTTTTTAAAGAGTTATCTACTTGAAAATCATTTACAGAGAGGAGTTTACATCATACGGTTCACTCCCCAAATGGCCTCAGCTGTCACGTTCAGGGTTCCAGTGCCTCCCATGTGGGTGCAGGTGGCCTTACCCCCATGCCACAGTGATGGTATCTGTTTTTTTTTCTTTCAGTCTGAAAAATAGGTGAAGGAGGATTTACCACACAAAACTGCTTTAAGTTATTATTATTATTATAATTGGAAAGGCAGATATACAGAAACATCTTCCATTATTGGTTCTCTCCCCAAGTGGCACAAACGGCAATGCTGAGCTGATTTGAAGCCGGGAGCCAGGAGCTTCTTCTGGGTCTCCCACACGGCTGTAGGGTCCCTGGGCTGTCTTTTTCAACGCTACAAGCAGGGAGCTGGATGGGAAGTGGAGCAGGCAGGATGTGAACCAGTGCCCACATGGGATCCCAGCGCTTGCAAGGTGAGGATTTAGCCATTAGGCTGCCGTGCCTGGACCAGAAGTGGTTTAAGTTTTAAATGAAGTGCAGATTGCACATCCATAATCCAGAAATCTAAAACTTGAAACTTTAATAAGCTCACCTGAAATGAACAATTTAGTGATTTTGGGACCTGGTGCGATAGCGTCTTGGTTAAAGTCCTCGCCTTGCACCGGGATCGCATTATGGGCACCAGTTCTAATCCCAGCAGCCCCGCTTCTCATCCAGCTCCCACAAGCAGGGAGCTGGATGGGAAAGTGGAGCAGCTGGGACACAAACTGGAGCTCATCTGGGATAGCAGCACTAGGAATGGAAGGACTGGCTAATTGGTGCAACATGCTAGCCCCTAATCTGTTCCCGGGGACAGGCAGCATGATTTGTGTAAAACCTGCTGTTCCCTGCCTGTCTTATTGTGGTCGGTCCTGGGTAATCTGAATTCTGCCTGTCTCTGCTCTCCCATCTGCTCAGCGTGCCCTACGGTCTCTATGCTCGAGTCATGTGAGCTTGGCCTTGTGCTTGGGCTCGCAGAGTCACTTGAGCCTCCAGGCTTTGACCGGAAATGCTCTTTGACTGGCGCTTCTCACTGTGTGGGTCACAGCCTTGGGGGCATGTCTGCAGAATAGCCCTCGGGAAACTGGTGTCCTCTGTTAAAGCACCCTGCTTTGTTCTTTACTAAGTTTCCCCACTTGCAAATTTATTTGCTTACATTTAAAAACAATTTTTTTTATGCCTGCTCTACTAGTGTATTGATTTCAAGAGGGAAAGCAGCTTATCTTGTTTTTCGTGTTTTCGCTCTCTGTGTGGCTGGCATAGGTGTATGTGTTAGGTGTACGTTTCACCAAGTATTGGAATACTGTTTTCCCTCAGGAGTAACCTAGCTCTATCCTGCGTTGTATAAGGAGACTTATATCAGAAAAGTTCACAGAAAAATGGAGTGAGTGTTGTGCCAGTTTTTTGAAACCCCCAGATAATCATCAAGTCTGAAGTCGGTGCTAAGGCAAAAAGGTGGTTTATTCAGGTTAGCCTAGGTAACCCAGCCACCTCCCCCAGCCCAGCATGGCTGGGCGGGGGAGGGGCAGCCACAGCCAAGGCTGCAAGGATCCGCAGGGAGGACAAAAGAAGCAGGAGCCAGAAGAGCCCAGGGAGCCCAAGCCCCCCAGTTCTTATACATTTCAGGCTATTAATTATACAGTCATGACTTAGCAGGCTTCTATTGGTGGGTTTGAAACAAGCAACTTTCAAAAAGTACAAATTGATGAGCTATTGGGCTGTGAATCTTATCAAACACCAGGTACCTCCTTCCTAAGGAGTGGTCTGCCTACGTGACCTGCCAGGTGTCCTGCCGGGTGTCACGTAGACTATCAGGCCTGGAGTTCACACAGCCCCCAGCCAAGCCATTAAGGCAGAATCACAAAAGGCAGAAAACGCCTAGGTTCTTCATGAGAAGTATCTGTTTTGGTGCAAAAGTGTCTTAAAATCCAAGATAAGCTTGTACCAAGTGTCTTGTACCAAGATAAGCTCATGCTGTTAATTTTTTAAAATTGGAAAGTCAGATTCCCAGAGGGAAGGAGAGACTGAAAAACATTTTCTATTTATTGGTTCATTCCCTGAATGGTCGCAACAGCCAGAGCTGAGCTGATCCAAAGCCAGAATCCAGGAGCTTCTTCTCGGCCTCCTACATGGGTGCAGGCTCCCAAAGCTGTCCTGTACTGCTTTCCCAGGCCACAAGTGAGGAGCTGGAAGGGAAGTGGAACAGCTGGGACATGAATATGGGATCCCAATATGGGATCCTGGCGCTTGGAGGTAACGGATTAGCCACTGGAGTCAACATGCTGGCCTTGTTTTCTACTTTTTATTAATATAAAGAGGACAAGCTTCATGTAGTTCATATTTACATCTTTTAAATTAATGTTTTCAAGATTTTGGGGCCAACGTGATGGCTGAATTGGTTAATCCTCTTCCTGAAAGCATTTACATCCGATGTGAGCACAGATGTGTTAGCTGCCCCATTTTTTGGTCCAGCCCGCTGCTTGTGGCCTGCGAAAGCAGCAGAGGATGGCCCAAAGCCGTGGGACCCTGCACACACCTGGGAGACCTGGTGGAGGCCCCTGGTTTCTGACTTCAGGTTGACTGAGCTGTAGCCATTGTGACTACTGAAAGAGTGAACCAGTGGATGGAAGATACTCCTCTGTCTCTCCTTTTCTCTATAAATTTGCCTTTCTAATAAAAATAAATAAGTAAAAAAAATATTTTTATTTGAGGGCCTGGCATGATGGTCTAGTGGCTAAAGTCTTCACCTTGAATGCGCAGGGATCCTATTATGGGCACCGATTCTAATCCCAGTGGCCCCACTTACCATCCAGCTCCCTACTTTTGGCCTGGGAAAGCAGTCGAGGATGGCCCAAAGCCTTGGGATCCTGCACCTGCGTGGGAGACCTGGGAGAAGCTCCTGGCTCTTGGCTTTGAATTGGCTCAGCTCTGGCTGTTGCAGCTGCCTGGGGAGTGAATCATTGGATGGAAGATATTCCTGTCTCTCCTCCTCTCTGTGTATCTGTCTTTGCAATGAAAATAAAAGAATCTTTAAAAATATATTTTTATTTAAAAGGTAGGATTACACAGAGAAGGAGACAGATATTCCATTCATTTGTTCACTGTCTAACTGGCTACAGTGCCTGGATCTGTGCTGACCTGAAATCAGGAGCTGCTTCTGTGTCTTCCCCATGGGTGCAGGGACCCAAGAACTTGAGCCCATCCTCTGCTGCTTTCCTAGGTGCATTAGCTGGGAGCTGGCTTGGAAGTGGAGCAGTTTTGAGCAAGTATGTCTGCATTAGCAGAGTTGAGTTAGCAGCCAGAGCCAGATATCAAACTGAAATCCAGGCGCTCTGGGATGTGTTATATGTGTGTGCTGTATAAAGATTTATTTACTTGAAAAGCAGTTACAAAGAGAAAAGAGAGGTCTTCTGTCTTAGTGATTGCGAGGCCTGGGACTGGGTCAGGCCCGAATTAGGAACTTGGAATCTCTGTTTATGTGCAGGGGCTAAAACACCTGGGTCATCTTCTGTTGCTTTCTCTAGTGCATTAGCAGTGAGCTTCATGGGAAGTGGGGCACATGGAACCCAAACTGATGCTCAGATGGGATACAGCATTGCAGGTAGTGGCTTAAACATGGATCTCCTGGGACCAAATACCAGGTCATGTGCACACCCGTTAATTCTGCTTTTCCATGCACTTTCGGAAGTACCCTCATATTCTGATGGTACAGTAGTGTTGTTGCCACAGTGTAGCCCAAGATAATTGTGAGTGTAAGTCATATCTTGTGAGTTTTCTGTTGATACCTATTAGGTGTTTAGCACATACAGAATTGCGTTAGTATGACTTCCATCATATGTGTTCAGTCTTTTGAAAATGCCTCATCGGCAGTAATCTTGTAACAGAACATTCCTGGATGTAAGGACAAAACGGGGATGGAATGACCATTTTGGTGTCATTGTATTCTCAAAAGGGTCATTTGTGCTGTCATTCTCAGCTACCTGAGAGGGAGTGTGAAGATGCTTAAGGAGCGCCCAGGGATGGCGGAAGATCCTCAGCAGCAAGCGGGCGTTCCTGTGGTGAAGCTGGAAAAGGAGCTGCCGTGGGGTAGGGGAAGGGAGGACTCAAGCCCTGAAACTTTCCGTCTGAGGTTTCGGCAGTTCCGCTACCAGGAGGCAGCTGGTCCCCAGGAAGCCCTCAGGGAGCTGCAGGAACTCTGTCGCCGGTGGCTGAGGCCCGAGCTGCACACCAAGGAGCAGATCCTGGAGCTGCTGGTGCTGGAGCAGTTCCTGACCATCCTGCCTCGGGAGTTCTATGCCTGGATTTGGGAGCATGGCCTGGAGAGTGGCAAGGCCTTGGTGGCCCTGGTGGAGGGCTTGACGGAGAGAACACTGGACGCCAAGGCGGTGGGTGAGAAGGGGGTGTCCGGATCTTGTGGCGTTGTTGGCGTGGGAAGGGAGTTTTCAGGAATGGAGGGGTTGACCAAGCAGTGGGAATGAATGAGGCCTAGAACTGTTTCTCTCCCCTCTTCCAAATTGGAACCCAGGTAGCCCAGACTGAAACTGGCACTCCAGTATGGGATGCTGACATCACAAGAAGACAGCTTAACTTGCTGTGCCACCTGCTGGCCCCTCAGGCTCTCTTTAGAGACCAGTGGGTTTTTAGCCAGAAAGGCCATTCCCATGGGTGATGCTGAGGTACTTGAAGCCTCTGTAGACCTCAGAGTGCGGCTTAGCCCTACTTTTCTTTAGGACCTCAGGCCCAAGGATCCCTTTGGGCAGAGGTGCTCATGGAAGTAGCGGATGTCACGTGGAACATGCATGCTGGCCATGGGCTCCCGTGGCCTTTCTGTGGTACTGTTCTCATGGCACCAGTGGTTTTGTACCACAGGTGCCTCCTTTGAACTCTGCCCTGGTTCTGTCGCTGAAAAGGGAGAACAAGACTGATGAACTTGATCTCTGCAAAGCCCAGTCATGCTGTGGCTTCTGTTTGTGACAGCCTCTCCTGTTTGTGACTGTCACCCTGACTTGCTGTCTTTTTGTGGAATCCTAAGAGGATTTTTTCTTCTCCAAAGAAAAGGAAGGACCTTGGTTTCCCTTGCTGTGGCTGGTGCAGCTGTTTCATGCATACTGATTCATGGCGGGGTATAGATCTTGCTTTTTTTATTTTTGGTTTTGGCAGTTGGTACTCTCCCCCTCTCGCCCCACTCTTCCCTCCCCCAGTTAGTGATGAAATTTGGTCAATACCGAGGCAGGCAGAAGAGATCCCTTGTCAAATAACACGAACCGTTTGAAGCTGGTCTGGGTCTGACATGGGGAGATCAGCTTTCTTCATACTACCTCGTTGATGTTCACCCAGCTTTTCCTTCCTCTTCCCTGAAGCTGGGATGGTTTGTTGCCTGCTTCTCTCTCTCTTTTTTTAATTGATTTTCTGTTGACAATCTTTACATAGTTGATTAGGGCACAAAGGGTCAAGGGCTATAGGAAAGTGGGTAAGACTATTGTTTCCGCATTACTGTTTTTTTTTTTTTTTTCCTGTATCTGGGGTAAAGGGGGAGATAAAGGAAGAAGCGATTCATCGTGCTTGGAATGATGAGAGAGACTGGCAGCAGTTCAGAACTGTTGAACTATCAAAACCATTTGAGCAGGACCTTTGGAGCATGGCCCACATCGGGGACCCTGGGATGGGGTGGGAGCCTGGGTGGGGCTTCTCCCTTTATCTCCTTTTGGGTTTTAATTCAATTCCTGTCATAACCACCTTCTCCAAGCCTTATCCTAACTGATTCTGGAAACTGTCCTTAGGTCCCATGTCCTGTGCAGGCAGAGCAAGAGGAGACAGCACTTTGCAGAGGCACCTGGGAGCCTGGCGTTCACCCAGGGCCAGTGGAGGTCAAGCCTGAGTGGGAGCTGGGAACTCCTGGGGAAGGAGTTCAAGGCCTGGACCAAAGTGCGGAGGAGCAGCCCCTCAATCAGGACCCTGGAGGTGGGACGCAGGCCTTCCAGGAGCAGGGTAAGGTGCACGCTACAGAACTGGAGGGTACTACTCTACAGGCAGCTCTCTTCTCTTAAGACCCAGCAGAGGATAAACTGAGTGTTCTGTGAGGTGTCTGTCTTTCCTTTTTTCTTTTTTTTAAATTTTCATTTAGAAGGTGGAGTTGCAGAAAGACAAGGAGAGACACAGAGAGCTTCTATCCTCTGGTTCACACCCCAGAGCAAGGAGCTATGTGGGCTCAGGGACCTAAGGACTTGGGCCATCTTCCACTCCTTCCTCAGATGAATTAGCAGGGAGGTGGCTCAAAAGTGGAATAGCTGGGGGCATGAACTGGTGCCCACATGGGATGCTGACACTGCAGATAGTGGCTTAGCCTGCTGCACCATGGTGTTGGCCTTGTGAGGTGTCATTCTTGATCTCCCTGGCTGCCCATAGATCTCAGTAGGTGGCAGATGGCTACTTTGATTTTCTGGTTTCTGGTGGTGGTGGTAGTAGTGATGGTTGTGGTTGTGGTAGTGAGGGTTACCTTGGACCACATGCTCTTACCCTTTCTTCCCCTCACATCCCTTCCTGAAGTTACCAGGAGGTATGCAGCTGACCTAGTGGAGTATTTTTAAGTGGACAAATCATATCATTTCTCACAGTAACATGTGGCTGATGTGTTAGGTATCTCAGAGGAGATTATTTGCAGAGTGGGTCCAGAGAACATGGTGAACCGTGAACGGTCAGGCTGGCCTGGTTTTCCCAGTGAGGAACGGGGTTGGGGTTCCCCAGGTCCCTTCGTTGTGACTTCAGTGTGGTTTGTCTGGAGTCTCCTGGTTCCTGTGGCTGTGTGTGGGGTGGGTGTGCCCTCTGAAGGGCTGTCAGCCTGTGCTGAGCCTTCTCATGCCTTTTGCCTTGCTCAGTGCTGCCAATGCTTCCGACTGCTTCAGGCCTCCCTGTGGTGAGCACCAGAGACCAGGAAATGGCAGTTGGGTTCCTCACGACTGGATCCCAGGTAAGCTGTGACTTGCCCTTCTGAGAGCCTGTGGCAGCTTTGATGGAGGTTCACCTCCCCCAGGGTTTCCCTGCACACTGGGTGCCATCCGCATTGCCCAGTCATCCTGCTAGTCTGGTTCTGATGGTTATGACAGCTTGACTTGCTTTTCTCTGCTACCCTCCCCAGTTGCTAGTTTGCATTGAGCCTTCTCCCTGTACCCTAAGCCACAGGATCTGCTGTTGTTTCTACTCTTAAAATGTGAGCAAGAAGACATTGGAAGAAACTCTGTAGGAATATCCAGGCTGCCGTGGTTGGCCTGCAGATGAATCCCCGTGGGGGTTCTGTGCTGCTCTTCCTCTGGGGCTGTCATTGGCGATGTGGCTGACTGAGCTGGGGCTCCCTAAAGACTGAGCAGAGGATCTTTCTGGCCCATACACAAAGCTGTGGGGGTTTAGGCCTTTTCAGTGTATGCTGATCCATTCACAGAAAGTAATGAAAGACAAAAGACATGTGGGGTTCTTGCCCAAGGAGCTTGATCTGGGAGGTGGGACTTCCTGGGGCCTGCCTTTTCTAAAGGGACAAGGTTTGAGGAGTTACTTGAAGAGGAAAAGGGGTTGTAAGGCAGAAAAACAAAGCAGATTAGTTCCAACTTAGCTAAAACCCTGTCTGAGTGAAATCTTAAGCCATGTCTCTTGCTGTGCCTGTTTACAAAGATGGAAGGGAGTGAGGGATGTCTGTCTTTCCGTTTGGCCACATCATTCTTTGCCGCCATGGTTATCATTCATGATGTGGTGAGTGAGCATGTGACTGCATTTGTGCTCACATGACATTTCTCTCTATTTTTGTTTTATTTGAAAAGTAGAGAAATGGAACTAGATAATTCATTCCCCAGATATCCACAACAGCCAGGGCTGGGCCGGCTAACACTAGGGGAGTTGAGAAGTTAGTCAGGTCCCCTGTCAGGGACTCAGGATACTTCCAGGGTGTATGTTAGTATAGGAAGCTAGATTAGAGTGGAGGCAGGACTTCAACCCAGGTGCTCTGATAATGAGAGGTGGGCATCTCTAGTGATGTCCTAACCATTGGACTCAACACCACCCTGTGACAGGGTCAAGATGGGTTTGGCTTTGAGAGTAAATCCCTGCTAGATGCCAGGATGTATAGGTAGCTGCTCTTGGGCTATGTTGAGCTTGAGGAAGGAGTGGCAGGTGCCAGTGAGTGGGGAGGAACACAGTGGTTGCTAGGGACCAGCTGAACTGGTGGCTCATGCAAGCCTGTGTCTCTGTCATGTAGTGATCCAGAGCCAGGCAGTTCTGCTTCATGAGCAAGGGGGAACCCCGTTCCTATGTCTCCTTGCTGTGCTTGTCCCTGGTGGTGTTCCTGCCTTTTAGAAAGTTGTACCTCAGGGTTGCTTTCTTTGTCACTGCCTTCTGTTGTGGTTTCAGGGATTGGGAGCCTTCAAAGACATGGCCTTGGCCTTCCCTGAGGAAGAATGGAGACAAGTGACGCCAGCCCAGATAGATTGCTTTGGGGAGTACGTGGAACCTCAGGCCTGCACAGTTTCTCCAGGTAAGACTCTGTCTACCCCATAGGTAGAGACTTGTGAAAGCTGCAGGTCAGGAGTCTTGCCTGACAAAGAAAGGGGATTTTATGGCTGGCTTTATGTGCTGCCACGCCAAGAAAGAAGTCAAATGGCTAAGTAGCAAGACACATGGCTGCCCTTCAGGGTAATGAAGCAGCTCAGTGTGTTGAGCTTCACATCCATTCCCTGTGTCTGTAACGGAAGGACACTGAGGATTGAAAACGAGAGAAACAGCAGGCTGAAAGGTCTTTGATCTTGAGCAGATGTTTGCTGAACACTGAGCCCCATGAGGTGGCTGTGTGTTGGCGCATGAGGTGAGCAGAACTGAGGTACCTGGAGCCATGGGAAGTGCAGTGTGTGTATAGGAGCGTGCAAGGCTGCCTAGTAGGGGTTGAAAAATGAAAGGCTGGTGCGGCACTGTCATAGGAAGCAGAGCCACACTGGGGCAGCCTGAGGTGATGGCTGGGTGTGAGCTGTAGTTGGAGCCTGGGAAGATGCCATCCTCTATGCAAGCTGGGAGCTCCTAGGAGGAATAGCAGTGGGAATGGGCAGTCAAGGTGAGGTCTGTGGGAGCAGCCAGGGAGGACACTGCAGCACCTGGGGCTGCCACAGCAAGGAGCAGCGTGACATCTGGCTGAAAGGAGGAGAGTGGTGTGGTTGGGATAGGTCCTTGGCTGTTGCTCTGACTCCTTCCTGTCACAGCTCCTTGGCTGTGTTGTATCCTGACCCCTCATCTGCACTGACTTCATCTGGCCTATTATTCTCCCTTGAAATGTGGCCAGGGATGAGCAGCATATGAGAGAACCCAACTGGGCTTCACCACTTAGTAACTGTGTCTAAGTGAGTGTATCGGTTTACCTTTTCAAGTCTCAGTTTGCTTAGTCATGCAGTGGGGTTGTGTGTGGAACGTGGCCTCGTGACATTGTGAAAATGAAATCAGATAACATGTCCAGACATGGGGCAAGCATGGTAATGTTAGTTCATTGTGTAATTTTCTTTTTAATGATTTATTTATTTTTATTGGAAATTCAGATTTAGAAAGAGAAGGAGAGGCAGAGAGAAAAATCTTCACCTGCGGTTCTCTCTGTAAGGGGCTGCAGTGGCTGGAGCAGAGCTGATTGAAGCCAGGAGCCTTTTCTGAGTGTCCCACCCTGGTGTTGGGTCCTAAGGGATTGAGCCGTCCTCCACTGCTTTCCCAGGCCCCAAGCATGGAGCTGAATGGGAACTGAAGCAGTTGGGACACAAACTGGCACTAACATGGGATCCTTGTTTGTGCAAGGCGAGGAGGATCTAGCCACTGAGCCCCATCACACCAACCCCACTGTATAATTCTTTAAAAAGGTTTCTTTACTTGAAAGGCAAAATTAGAGAGAGTCAGAGAGACGTTTCATCACTGATTGATTTCCCAAATGGCCACCAAAGCCGGATTGGGCCATGCTGAAGCCAGGAGCCTAAAATTGCATGTTGGTTTCCCTCATGGTTGGTAGAGTCCCAAGTCGTTAGGCAATTTTTTTCCTGCTTTGCTGGGTGCATTAACAGGGAGCAATATTAAGGCATCCTTTTATGAATATTCATTCATTTATTCATATAGTGAGGACAAAGATTACTAAAGATTTTAGTACAAAAGAAATCTTTGTGTACAAAAGAAATCTTTGTCACTGTATATATGGCCAGTGTGCTTCTTGTCATCAGGAAGCATTAAAGATGTTTACTCTTAGTGTCACGCAGTTGAAGTGAGGAGGCCTACTGTGTGTCATATTGGTCATTGGAATGGACCGTTATTCCAATGGAATGGAATAGTCATTGGAATGGGATAGGGTGGAGGACTTTAAGAAGGGGTTTGGAGACTGAGTGCATGGCAAGACTGTCACACCATGACACTGATGGAGTGGCTGCATATGTCTGTACCTTGTACATGGGAGATGTGTGGTTGCTATGGGAGCAGGGACATGGGAGCCTGCGAAGAGTGGCAAAAGGCAGAGGCTCCTATGGTGGGAGGCTTGCAGCTTGCATTCCAGTGCCCTGCTCCCATCTTAGGATGTACCTTTGCCAGTGGTGGTGCTGTGTGGGATGAGACTTCTGCCTTGCATCTTCAGACTGTTTTTCACCCTCATGGCCATTTTTCTTCTTTTTTTTCCCCCCTTATGTATTTATTTGAAAGGCAGAGTTACAGGAGAGAGGGAGGAAGAGGACATTATTCTATCTGCTGGTTCACACCTGCAAAGTGCTGCAAAAGTTAAGGCAGGTCTGGGCTGATACCAGGAGCCTAGGATTACATCCTGTCTCGCATGTGCATGTCAGGGGCCAAGCACTTGGGCCATCTTCCAATGCATCCCTAGGCGCATTAACAGGGAGCTGGATCAGAAATGGAGCGGTCGGGACTCAAACCAGCTTGTATGGCATATTGGCATCACTGCCAGCGGCCTAATGTGCTGCAACACAGTGCTGGCTCCTCCTCGTTGTTTCTATTCTAAAGGCTGGTTAAGCAGCTCAGAATTTCAAAGTAACCCAAGCATATTCCGAAAAATTTGTGTGGAGTGTGACATTGGAAGTCCATTTCTCAGGCAGGCTCTCTTGTCTGTGTCTCAACCTTCAGGTCTTGATGTTTGTTCCCTTGTCATCTGATTTCTTTGACTGATAACTATGTGGGCTGGGCCCAGATCTTCATCTGTGAAGAGGACGTGGGTCTAGACATGTGTTGGTTGAGAAGGTTTCTCAGGTTGCTTCTGGTTTCTGGTTCTGAATAAATGTCCGACTGCTAACCTGTGGTTGGGATTGTAGTACTGAGGGCAGGAGGGAGACAGATGAAGGACGGATGGAATTTTGGACTTGATTTGGCGTTATGGACACAGATGGTAGGTGTGCATAAACCAGCCTAGAGGGACTTGTTGGCCGTTCATGAGGTGGTGAGAGTTGAGCACTCAGAGGAGAAAGGAAGATGTTGAGGTTGGTGGAGTGAGGCTGATCGCGGACTGTGGTTTAACTCTTTTAGGGAATGTTTTCAGCCTGGAGTGAGGTGGGTAAAACTGCTTGAGGAAAGTTCTTGGCGGCAGGGCACAGTCAGCCTACGGGCAGGAGCCTGAGAGCAGGACCCAGGCTGGTGACTGTGGAGAATGGGTTTACGGTTGGCCATAGCTGAGGAAAGGAGAGTCAAAAGGGGAGTGTAAGGTCTTGGTTGGAGATCCATGAGCTCATGCCGGAGAGGGAAGAAATGCTTTCCTGAGGGAAGGGCTCCACTTGCTGAATTTGAAATACAAGTGTCGGTAACAGGAAGTAGCAGGAAGTCAGGTGCCTGGCCTGAAGGCCTAAATGTGATGCATTATTGCATACCTGCTCTGTGCAGGAAGTCGTCAGTCCATCTTGAAGTTGAAGACAGTGAGGCTGCCACAACAATTGAGTAGCTAAACCAACGCGGAAAACAAGACCTTGGACTGCCAGGTCCAGTCTCTCCACCAGGGAAGCATTCTCCTAGTGTCTTTACTTGTGCCCACACATTTCCTCTTATTCATTTTTATCCAGCTCTATGTCTTGCACATTTGTTGTTGTTGTTTTTCCCTTCTAATTTACTTTAAATTTTATAATATAATTCCATAGTCTTTGAAATTTCTTTTACCCCCTTTCTAAAATCCCTTCCCCTCCGGTCTTACATATTTGTAAAACATTTCCAATTCAGAAAAGCTGAGTGTAGTAATCATACCTATATCTGTATGCAGATCTAGTTTTTTTTTTTTTTAAGATTTATTTATTTTTATTTGAAAGCAGATTTACAGAGAGGAGAGACAGAAAGATCTTCCATCTGCTGGTACATATCCCGGCTGCTCCACTTCCTGTCTAGCTCTCTACTTGTGGCCTGGGAAAGCAGTAGAGGATGGCCAAAAGTCTTAGGACCCTGCACCTGCGTGAAAGACCTGGAAGAAGCTCGTGGCTCCTGACTTTGGATTGGCTTAGCTTTGGCTTTTGTGACCACTTGGAGAGTGAACTAGCAGAGGTCTTTTGTCTCTCTTCTCGGTGGATTTGGCTTTCCAATAAAAAAGTAAATAAGTCTTAAAAACAACAAAAAAATCAGTCAAGGATAGTCCAAAGTCTTGGAACCCTGTGCCCATATGGGAGAACCAGAAGATGCTCCTTTTTTCGGGTCAGCTTTGCTTTGGCCATTGCGGCCACTTGAAGGGTGAATCAGCAGATAGAAGATGTTTCTCTATGTCTTTCCTTCTCTCTGTAGCTGATTTTCCAATAAAAATAAATAAATCTTTAAAAAAAGGCACAAAAAAAGCAAGGGGTTCCTCTCTCTTCACTCCCTGTCTCACCTACTTAATATTTTTCCCAAGTTATTACAATAGCATAATTACTCATTTTATAGTCACAAATTTTGATATAAAGGTATGATGATATGACAGAGGAAAAAGAAAAATTAATGTGTAATAAAAATGGACATCCTAGTATTGTCGTGGAGTGTGAAAGAGATCACACTGGACCCAAGTATAAGATGTTAGGGAGAGTCTTTATTGCCCGAGCTTAGTGACAGCAATGCCTGCTACACTTCAGGAACCACTGCAATGTGTGGCCGAAGTCGGGGGTTTTTAAGCTCTTGTCTTTCAGATTGAGAGCTGTACAGGACAGAGTTTTCATGCATTCAGTTACTAAGTGCAAGAGGCAGGAAGGGAGCTACTGGAGCCCAAAGTTTTCTTGTAGTTAACTAACGTAACCTAGCACAGTGGGAGGCAGGAGGGGCCAGGTGCATGGAGCCTCCAGAGCCAGTTTTGTGCATTCAGTTAAGTTGAACGTCATGAGAGAACGACATGGAAACTCCATTTCTGCACTGTCCACTGTCAGCCGGTCAAGCTGGTACTCACCATCAACCCAGGTGCATCCCATCACACTATTAGATTATTCCTAATTAATAAGATGGATGCTGTATCACAGTTAATTCACACTATGGCATGTATATTCTAATAATGGCAGTCCTAACATAACTCAGGGTCATAATTCCATCCATTCCATTAAGAAATCAAACTTAAGTTCCATGTATATAGTATCTAACATACTCGGATTTCTCCAGATCTGGTTAGGTCAACCATTGCTCTTAGTTTTAATTAAGAGATCAAAATTGGAAACTACCCAAATGAACATCAATTGCTTTTTTTAAAAAAAGATTTATTTTATTTTCATCACAGAGTCAGATATACAGAGAGGAGGAGAGAGACAGAGAGGAAGATCTTCCATCTGATGATTCACTCCCCAAGTGACTGCAATGGCCTGTGCTATGTCAGTTCGGAGCCAGGAGCCAGGAACTTCTCTCAGGTCTCCCACGCAGGTGCAGGGTCCCAAGGCCTTGGGCTGTGCTCGACTGCTTTCCCAGGCCACAGTCAGGGAGCTGGATGGGAAATGGAGCTGCCAGGATTAGAACCAGCGCCCATATGGGATCTCAGGGCGTTCAAGGCGAGGACTTTAGCTGCTAGGCCATGCCACCGGGCCCATCAATTGGTTTTTTAAAGATTTATTTATTTTTATTGGAAAGGTAGAAAGAAGAAAAGATTTTCCATCCACTATTTCACTCCTTAGATGGCCACAACAGCTGGAGTTAAGCTGATCCAAAGCCAATAGCTAGGAGCTTTTTCTGAATCTCTCACTTAGGTGCAAGGCCCCTAGGCTGTGAGCCATCCTCTGCTGCTTTCCCAGGCCACAAGCAGGGGACTGGAAGGGAAGTGGAGCAGCCAGGACATGAACTGGTGCCCAGGTGGGATGCGGTGCTTGGGGACGGAGCATGAGTCACTTAAGTCATCACGCCAGGCCGCCATCTATCATATTTTTTTAAAGTTTTTAATTTTTTAAAGTTATGGTAGCTCATTTTTTTTTTATTTTTTAAAATTTCTTTTGTAATTATTATTATAATTTTATGATACAGTTCAATAGATCCTGTGATTTCCCTTCCCACCTCCACAAGTTCCTTCCCTGCCCCAACTAAGTTTCCCTATATTCTTACTATAGTATAGTTATTCATAAACAGTCATATGTCCATTATTGCAGGCATGGACAATGGCAAAGTCCAGCATCCTATTGTCAAGATATCTGGAAGTAGAGATGCATATTGCTTTGTATCCTCATATCTGGATATTATATTCTCCATTACACAGTTATTATACATCCCCTTAGAAATGAAAAGCCACAATACAAAATCAACAACAGGAAGAAAGAAATAAAAAATGCCATGAAGTTAAATAACCATAACTGCGTGACTAATGTGTCACTGAAGAAATGAAAAAAGAAAATGGAGAACATTATTCAAGAAAATGATGTATGGTTTATGTCAGTGAAAATTTAATGAAAAAGTTTTGAAGAGGTGAAACTAAAAGAAAAATCAAAATCCATGAAATATAATTTCTGCTGATCTTTGTTGGTGAGATATGTCTCCTGCTTGGAACAAACAGATGGGTTTTGTTATTTTAATCCGATCTACCAATCAATGACATTTGATTGATGATTTTAAGCCATTTACATTCACGGTTAATATGCATGTGTGGTAATTTAATTCTGTCATTAAAACAATGGGCTGTTCACTGATTTAGTCTTCTGTTGTTATTTTACTGGGATCTGCTTCACAATTGCCTTTGGTTTAGGTGGGCACTATTCCTTTTCCCTGTCAAGAAAACATCTTTCATTTGCAGGGCAGGTTTAGAAGAGGCACATTCTTTTAACTTTTCTTTACTGTGGAATTTTATTTCATTTTTGAAGACATAGGGAAGTTTTGCTGGGTATGTTATCTTAGGCCAAAAATTTTCTTCTTTGAGAATCTGGAGTGTGTCACTCCATTCTCTTGTGGCCGGTAGAGTTTCCTGTGAGAGGTTCCTGTGAGTTTAATTGGCATTCCTTTACATGTCGATTGATTTTTTTTTTTTTCTTTCTTTCTTCTTTTTTTATTTTTTTTTGGTAGTCACGGATTTTCTCTGGTATGTAATGTTTCTTCTTGAGAGGTCAGCTGTGAGTTTGTTTGGGGTTTCTCTGTAATTCACTTGATTTTTCTCACGTGCACATTTCAGGATTTTTTTCCTTAAGTTCAACTGAGGAGAGCTTGATGATCATGTGTCCTGGTGAAGGTTGCTTTTGATCAAGCCTGTTGGGAGTTCTGTGCCCCTCCTGGATGTTGTTTCTCAATTCTTTCTCTAGATTAGGGACATTTTCCCTTACTATTTCATTGACTACCGTTAATCCCAGCTTTCTTTTTCTGCATCTTCTGGGACTGCATAACCCTAAATGTTGAGCCTTTTAATATGTCTTTAAATTTTTGAATACTTTTTTTGGCCTGGTCCAGCTCTGCTTCCAGCTTTTTGTTTGTTTCTCCCTAGTAACAAGAAATATCTTCCAGTTCTGAAATTCTTTCTTTTGCTTTGTTCATTCTATTTTGGAGACTCTCCACTGTACTTTTAATTTGTTCCACTGTATTCTTCATGTTTGATATATCAGCTTTCATTTGATTCATTTTGTCTGCTGTTTTCATGTGTCTGTCAGTGTCCAGGTGCGCCTCTGCTATCGTTCTGTCTTCTCTCTCCTGGAATGTGCCCTGTCTGCATCACACTGGCTAATGTTTCCCCATCTGTTTAAACGTGTCCTTACCGTATTCCGCCATCTTGATTCTCCCATCTATCACATTTGTAAATTGGTTCTGATATGGCATAATACATACATCAGTGAAAGAGAATAAAGTATGCTGTACCCCACTGGTGAATTTTGCAAACTGAGCAGAAGAATCCAGAAACACTGTATGAATCAGTTTTATGAAGTGAAGGAACAAAAAGAAAAAGAGAAGGTCTGGGCAGTGTGTTCTCTGTGGACAGGGCCTGGTACAGGACGGGTGGAGGTTGGTCTTTTGTGTGAGTGTTGTTTGTAGAGGAAAGGTCTTTAGATCTCCGTTTATGTCTTGCAAGGTTTTACTTTAGTGAAAGGCTCACACAGCAGAAAAATGGATAAAAGGTGATCGCTTCTTCGCTCATATTTTATCATACTAAGAAGAATGTAGAAATGTTTCTTTTTATGATCTCATGGCCTTCTCTGAATGAATTCTCTTCTGCTTTAAGTACCACTTGTCAGATCTTTTTCACCCTGTTCCTGGCTGCTATGTTCCTTGAGGATACCTTTTTCTTTCTTTTTTTTTTTTCTTCATTCCCTTCCCCCTCTTCTATAATCATCTTTTCTTAACTCAGAACATCTAAGGGAGATCTGAATAAGGATGCAAGTTGAAGCCAGGGCCCCTTAATTGTGTGAAACATTCCCATGTGGAGCTTCTGTCACTGGAGCCTTTCTGACAGTCTGGCGTCATCCAGCTGACTGTTCACAGGCACCTTCCTAAATCAGCACCCTGCGTGGCCCCAGGGATGCAGTGGGAATACTTCTGGCAGGAACTGGGAGCTTCGCAGGTGTGCTGCCATTCTGTGTCTCTGCAGTAGGTTTGCAGTTACCTGGGGAGGGCAGAACGTCTCATCCAGCAGCTTCATGTGGAAGTAAGTGCTAGAAGGTCTCTGAGTGCTGCAGAGGTTCAGGAGCACAGAACAATGAGGGTGTGTTTTGGAGACAAAAATTAGCATGTTAGATTTTATAGGAATTGTGTTGAGTTCCAACAGAATTTGGTGTGAAGGCCTGCCTTAAGATTTCTAAGATTAAAGAGAAAGGCATTTGGGTAGAAAGAAAGGAAAAGCCTAAGTGAGGATTCAGGTCCCCTAAAGTGATAGATGTTGGCATTCATCAAGGGGAGGAAGATAAAGAAGTGTTAATGGGACATGGTGGAAGCACGGCTTCCACAGAGTCGGTCTTTATCTCCTTTTTCTTATAGGTGCTGGGAGCAAGGAGAAGGAGCTGAAACCACAGCAGGAAGACCTCAAAGAGGCGTTTGCTGGACTGACGGCACAGGGGTTTGGGGAAGTCACTCTGCAGGGTGCTGGGCTTGGGCGGGCCTCTGAGCAGGAGCCCAGTGGCTCTGCGGGCAGCCTGCCAGGGCTTCCTCCCCCTCAGCAGGGCACAGTGCCCATTTCTGATGAACTCAAAACTCATAGCTCCTTCTGGAAGCCCTTCCAGTGCCGTGAGTGTGGAAAAGGCTTCAGTCGAAGCTCCAATCTTGTCAGACACCAGCGCACACATGAGGAGGAGAAATCCTATGGGTGCATGGAGTGTGGGAAGGGCTTTACACTGAGGGAGTATCTGATGAAGCACCAGAGAACACACTTGGGAAAGAGACCCTATGTGTGCAGCGAGTGCTGGAAAACCTTCAGCCAAAGACACCACCTTGAGGTCCACCAGCGGAGCCACACAGGGGAGAAGCCCTACAAATGTGGGGACTGCTGGAAGAGCTTTAGCCGGAGGCAGCACCTGCAGGTCCATCGCAGGACGCATACTGGGGAGAAGCCTTACACATGTGAGTGCGGCAAGAGCTTCAGTAGGAACGCCAACCTGGCTGTGCACCGGCGTGCCCACACTGGTGAGAAGCCGTACGGGTGCCAGGTGTGTGGCAAGCGCTTCAGCAAGGGCGAGCGACTGGTCCGGCACCAGAGGATCCACACGGGAGAGAAGCCCTACCACTGCCTGGCCTGTGGGCGAAGCTTCAACCAGAGGTCCATTCTTAATCGGCACCAGAAGACTCAACACCGCCAGGAACCCCCGGTACCCTGAGGGAAGTCTCATCATGCGGCCTATCTGCTGGGCTTCTGTGGTTGTGGAGGATGGGATGCACAAGGTCACCTTGACCCACTCTTCCCCCCACTCCCAAGTCCACGGAGAGGTCAAGGCTTGGCGATGTAGGGCTCCCAGAGGGCATAGCTGCTTGCACCTTACCTATTTGGTGCTGATGCTTTCTGCTCCCGTCTTTTAGTTCAAGCCGAGTGGGTGTTTGTACCCACCCCTGGAACAAATGTGGTAAGGAAGGCAGAATTTTCTTACCTGTTGGCAGCTTGAGCTTCATTTTTCTGAGGGCTTTATCCTGCCTGCTTCTCTCCTCAACTACTCTCTTCCATTTAGCAAAATTCTTTTAGACACCTGCCATGTCCTACTGCAGTAAATGCTGACTGGAGAGGTGGGTGAGGCCTGTGTTTGTGAGCATATGGGAAGTTGTAACCTACCAAGTGTGACAGTGAGTGCCACGTCCCTTGTGGCCTTGTGTTTTTGTCTCCAACTGTAGTATTCTGTCCTCATCTGTAAAGTTTCTCTGATGTTACTGCTTGCACTGTAACAACCGTCAACACATCAGCTATTGGAAATGAATATTTTGCTATTGATCACTGAATAAACAGTATTTTAAAGAAAAATTCTGTTCTGTAGAATGACCTATTTAGTGAGTCTGAAAAAATGACCTGGTATCAACGCCCTGTTTAATGGACCTGTAGTGTGTATAAATTGCTTTTCTACTTGTTCTCATGGTTTATTGCACAAGTACTTTTTGATTGAGGCCCTGGAGTGTGCCAGGCACTCTTCTCGGTGCTCATGGTACATTGTTGTTAAAAAAGGGAAGAAAATGACTTGACCTCAAAGCGCTTATGATTTAGTGAACGTGCCTGATCTTCAGAATCTGGATATTTCCATGAATCCCTGGACATGGGGTCCGAGCCCTTGTATTTAGTCTTGTCAGTTCTTGCCGTGAAATGCATTTGCTGCCTACCTCTTGTTACAAATAGCTTCTGTGCTTGGTGCACCCAGACCTTTGACACTGAGAAACGGGATCCTGGGTCCCAAATGGAGAGGATGCAATGGTTGTGTCCACTTTTGCATGTGTGCCATTTCAGGAAAAATAACAATGGTTGTAGGCATTTAAAAACATACATTTCTTTAAAAATGAGAAGATGTGGTATTTGTAACTGTGCTAATGCTTTCATTTATTATTTTGCTATACTCCAATGATTTTCTTGCTGTTTAATCTGGAAACTACCTAGCTGGCGTGGGTTGCAGTGCCATGTCATTGGTATGCCAGATCCTGGCTGCTGAGTAAGATTGTGTATCTTTTGTTGACAGTTTACACTGTGATTGCAGCAAGCTGTGGATTTGTGTCATGGGCTGTTTATCTTGTGTTCTAACATATTCTTTTACTGAGACCAATTTTTCTTTCCTGTTGTGAGATAAAATGTGACCAGTAATACAAGGTTGTGTTATTCCTTTTTAAAAAAGATTTATTTAACTTTGGGCCTGGTGAGATGGCTCAGTGGCTAAATCCTCACCTTGCATGCATCGGGATCCCATACACGTGCTGGTTCGTGTCTAGGATGCTGCACTTCCCATCCAGCTCCCTGCTTGTGGCCTGGGAAAGCAGTAGAGGATGACCTAAAGCCTTGGGATCTTGTATCTGCGTGGAGGACCCAGAGGAAGCTCTTGGCTTTGGATCGACTCAGTTCTGGCTGTTGCAGCTGTTTGGGGAGTAAACCATTGGATGGAAGATCTTTCTGTCTCTGCTTGTCTCTGTAAATTTGATCTGCCTTTCCCATAAACACGCACACACACACACACACACACACACACAAATAAATATATATTTAAATAAAGCAGGCAGGTAGATGGGAAGTGGACTAACCAGGATACAAACTGGTGTCTATATGGAATCCTGGTGCTTACAAGGTGAGGATATAACCATTGAGCCATTGTGCCTGTCTGTTTTGAAACACAAGATTTTGTCACAAGTATCTTGTAAGATAGCCATTGGTATCTTATTTCAACTTGGCAAATGACCCTCCTGACCCCTCAGCTGTGCCTGTGTGGCTGCACTAACCAGAGTGGGGCTGTGTCTGAGATGTTGCACAAACTGCCTGTGTCCTCAGCAGTGCCAGGATCTGCATGCAAAAGCTCTCTCTCCAGTTCTCACACTTCTCAGGCTGTTTTAGGTCTGTATCTCAAAACCAGTCAGGATCAGGGAGACTTCTGCCTCCATGGCTGGCTGTTCACTTGAATTAAATTGTTTATTCACTTTGCTCTTACTCTTAGTTAAATGGGCTTCTGAGTTTTCATCAGATTGGAATCTCAAGGGTGTTTAAGTGGAAATTTGGCCTCCAGAATGGAATTACAGAAGCCTAGTGTTTGGAACCCACTGTCAACTGATGCTTTATTGTTTTATGTTGTTCTAGTTAAAAGATTTATGGTAGAAAATTTCAAGCATGTATGAACAAATCCTTTTGTGTTCCTTTATTATAAACTCTGGTCTTATTTCATTTTTTTCTTCTGCCCTGCTCACTGAGGTGTTCTGAAACTGATTCTAAATGCTGTGATTGAATATTTCACTATCATTTAGTGGCTGGAATACTTCTTTAAAACATTTCTGCTATTAACAATTTGGTTAACCTTAGATACAGATCCTACAGGAAAGGCAGGATAAATGCACAGTCCCCATTTTCACTGTAATCAACTGGTTACTTGCTTTCTGTAAAGGCAATCAATTTGTAAAATACCACAATGCATTAATCGGCTTAAACATTTGATATTGACCAGTCTGCTGGAATTTAATGCTTAAATTATTTCACCTGCCAGACGTGGCATTTTCGGCTTTGCTCGTGGTTCCTTTTGACATACTCTTATTTGTCACTGACAGTGTCTTTGCTTTCTGGTGTGACAGATTGTTCCAAGAGGTTGTGTATACTTCCTGCTTCTTTGAGAAGAAAAAGGACTGCTGCTGGTTGTGTCTGGACAGAAAAGAGACTTTGGGTAACCTGAAATATGAGTATGATTGGGTGTCTGCAGTTCTTGTGTATGACAGTAATGCCATGACAATAACAGCTGGCTGGGTGGCAGGGGAGGGTCCCACAGGCCTGAATGGGAAAGGCTTGAACCAGGAGGTAACGACTGATACTAAGTTTTGATCTGAGGCTGGTTCTGTGATGCGGTGGGGAAAGCTGTGACCTGTCATGCTGGCATGCTATAGGTGTGCGAGTTTGTGTCAGCTGCTCCACCAATTACAGTTCCCTGCTGATGTGATTGGGAAAGCAGTAGAGGATGACTCAAGTGTTTTGGGGCCTTTGAATCCACATGGGACACTTGCATCCCTCTCTTGGCTTTGGACCAGTCCGACTCCAGCCGTTATGGTCTTCTGAGAAGTGAAAGGTATCTCTGTCCCCTAACCCATGTATTTCTCTCTAACTGGTTTTAAAATTTTTTTCGATACAATTATTTTTAAGTTCACTTTTTAAAAAATATTAATTGATTTTTTTGGAAAGTCAGATATACAGAGAGGGAGATCTTACTTCTGATGATTCACTCCCCAAATGACCGCAATGGTCAGTGCTGCGCCAGTCAGAAGCAAGGAGCCAGGAACTTCCTCTAGGTCTCACACGTGGGTGCAGAGTCCCAAGGCTTTGGGTCGTCCTCCACTGCTTTCCCAGACTACAGGCAGGGAGCTGGATGGGAAGTGGAGCTGCTGGGATTAGAACCGGTGCCCATATAGGATCCCAGTGCGTTCAAGGTGAGGACTTTAGCCGCTAGGCCACTGAGCCGGGCCCAATTTAACTTTTTTTTTTTTTTAAGATTTATTTTTATTATTTTTTATTGGAAAGGCAGATATACAGAGAGGAGAGACAGAGAGGAAGATCTTCCGTCCGATGATTCACTCCCCAAGTGACTGCAACGGCCGATGCTATGCCGATCCGAAGCCAGGAGACTCTTCCGGGTCTCCCACGCAGGTGCAGGGTCCCAAAGCTTTGGGCCGTCCTCGACTGCTTTCCCGGGCCACAGGCAGGGAGCTGGAAGGGAAGCGGGGCTGCCGGGATAGAACTGGCACCCATATGGGATCCCGGGCGTTCAAGGCGAGGACCTTAACCACTTGCGCCACCGCGCCGGGCCCCAATTTAACTTTTTTTAAAAATACTTTTTCTATTGGTAAGTCAGATCATAGAGAGGAGGAGAGACAAAGATCCTTTGCTTGTTCACTTTCCAAGTGGCCACAATGGCCAGAGTTGAACTGATCTCGAGCCAAGGGCCAGGAGCCAGGAGCTTCTTCCCATGTGGGTGTAGGGTCCCAAGGCTTTGGGCCATCCTTGACTGCTTTCCCAGGCCACAATCAGGGAGCTGGATGGGAAGTGGAGCTGCCGGGACATGAACTGGTGCCCATTTGGGACTCTGGCACTTGTCAGATGATGATTTGGCCGCTAGGCCCATCACACTGGGCCTGACTTTCGATGAATAAATAAATATACTTTGTTTTTTTTTTTTTTTTGAAGTAAACTACTTTGGTTTTTAAAATGGGATTTGGAGTACTATCTGTAGGCTGATTATACCTTATTTTTACCCCCAGCTCCCTTTTTTTCTTCTTAAATTTATTTACCTGAGAGAGAGGCATTTTACCTGCTGTTTCACTATTTAAGTGGCTCTTATGTCCAGGGCTGGGTCAGGCAGAAGACAGGATCTTGGAACTCTATCTGGGCCCTTGATGGGTGGCAGGAATCAAACACTTGGGTCATCATTTAGTGCTTTCCTAAGTACATTAGTGGGGAATTGGATCAGTGCTCAGATGGGATCTTTGTTTTGCACTTGACAACTTAGCCTATATTTATGCTGTGCATACACTTGCCCTTAAATTGAAGACTGTTTAAAAAATTTTTTTTATTTTGATAATCTTTACATAGTTGATTAGGGCACAAAGTGTCAAGGGCTACAAAAGTGGCTAATGCCATTGTTTCCACATTTTTTTTTTCCTGCATCTGGGGTAAAGGGAGAGAAAGGGAAAAGCCCCATCCAACCTCCCACTCATCCCAGGTCTCTGATGTGGGGCATGCTCCGAGGGTCCTGCTCATCCAGTTTTGATAATTCATCAATTCTGAATTGCTGCCAATCTTGCTGTTCCAAGCGTGATGAAATCTATTCAGAATCCACTGGCTGACATAGTTTCTTCATGGTTGGTGTTGTGAGATCAACAGTTCAGTTGTAGTGATCCCCAGAGAAACTGCGTCTAAGGTGATCCCAGATCTGATTCTTGTGTGAGTTTGCCGGTACAGGGTCCAACAGAGTCCATTACCTAATCAGCTTATGCACATGCTGGTGGTTGCATTTGCTGGGTCATTTCTGTTTCCAGATCTGTCTTCCATATGAACCAATTGGTGCTGCAGTCCAGCCTGATTCTGCCACCACATACTTGGCTCTCTCACAAACCAGTGGGAGCTGCAGCCTAGTCTGAGTGACCTTCATTAACCCCCACCAGGACCGCTCCCTGCCCTGGTTTCCGTGCTTCCCAGTATGTACAGCAGACTGGACCAGTAGGTCCCACATCCCATTCAGTTCTTATACATGTCAATGGGCATTGAAGCCTAGTTCAACCCAACCAGCCCCACTATCTAGCCCACACAGATGCTTGTGGGTGCCATTCTGTCTAGCCACCCCTGCCACAGTCCTGATTTTCATGCTCTCCAGTGGAAGTGGAGGGAGGTGTTCACTTTTTCCTTGCTTGGTCACTCCTACTCCTGGATCATGCATTTTCCAGGTGGTTCTGCAATTGGACTTGACAGAATTTGGCCCCAATGTCAGCATCTGCCAGCTGATGCTGTGGCAAAGCCCAACTAACCCTCAATCACTCTGATTTGTACTTGCAACTGTCGAATTCTTCCCAGCTTGGCTTTTCTCTTGATCTAGCTCGTGTGATGCCCACAGGTGTTGTAGCCTTGATAGTCTGGTCTGCCCCCATCCTAACTCATGCACTCTAGAGGGAGTCGTGGTCCAGCAGATTACCTAATCAGCTGGTAGGTTCCCCCTACCAGCTTTGCTTCCTCCCTCACTGGTTCTCAGTTGTGCTGGTTGTGCGCTGTGGCCCAGTCTGTCATGGCTCCCCTCACCTCAGCATTTGCCAGTTGGTGCTGTATCCTGGCCTGGCCTGGCCCGCCTCCAATTCCAGCTGACACTGGTGGAGGTACAGCCTAGCTCAGCCCAGCTGGCCCCCATCCTAGCCGTAATGTGTACTGGTATGTGTTACATTGAAACCTGGCCTGACACACACTCTGGGTGCTTGGATTCATTAGTGGGTGATGTGAACTGGTTCAGTCTGATTTGCCCCGGACCCATGCCAAATGTATGCTGGTGGGTACCTTTCCCTGTCCTGATCTGGGCTGCTTCCTGTTGTGGTTCTTGTGCTCACCCGCAGGGACTGTGTCCTGCAGATGAGTTTCCCAAGCTCCTTTATCAGAACCTCTCCCAATGCCAGATCTTGCACATAACACTGGGTCCGTGGGCCAGCCCTACTTAGTCTG